TTTGGGACCAGCAGTTAGTGTAATAGCTATGTCGCTGAACTCCCATGTAGTCGACCACGGTTCGAGTCCTGGACCTGTTGGCTTAAACTCACGCTGGGTGCATGTGCGTGCATGCCCAAGATCCCGAGAGGAGAATGGAGGAGAAGTGATTGCGGCGTGGCCATTCCCCCTGGGGAGCGATTTCTCACTTTCTGTCTCTCTGTCTCTTTCTGTCTTTCTGGCACGCACACGTGCTCCGTAGCAAAAACATCTAAAAAAAAAAAAAGTCTCTGAAATCATATATATATTTTTAAAATTATATGTTTTCACAATGAGACTACTAAACTTTGTTTCATGAAATAATTCCTCGTAGCTTCAATTTAATATCATGGGAGTTATTTTTGCATTAGAATGTTAAAAGCTCTTTATTAAATTATTGAATTTTTGAGATTTCTCAAAACTTCTGTGTGAGAGATTTTGGAAAGTGATGCAGGGTAATTTTGTAAAATGTTATTAGTTAAACCCCATTTCAGTAAATACAAGTAATCCGTCTTTGCTTATTTCTCTGCATAAGGCTTATGAAATTTTTTCAACAAAAATCTTTATCAACCTCTGTATTTGGAATAAGCCTAAGAAGTTCTCAGTAAGGGAGAAAGATAATTTATAATTTTATGGTGTTTATTCATGTGAGAAATGATGGAAGTGTACACATTTGCATAGGCACACATATGGCAAAGAAATTATAGCAGATTAATTGTTCTATACACTTCCTTTTGAAATGAGTCTTTTGTTTTATACTTTGCAACTATTTTCACTCTAAGATATGGATTATTCTGCTCTTTGTATGATATTGTTTGAAGAACAGAACATTATTTGGTAAAGTTTGCTAATTTATTTCTTCTGAGAGAAAGAGAGAACGAGAAAGACACCTTCAGCAGAGTCTTTACACTATGATCCACCTTCAGCTTCAGCCAGGCAGGATCACCGGCACATGTGTGTACCATCTTGTGATGCAAACCTGGGACCTTACCATGCAGCCTCAGCATTGCAGAGACTGATCCTATCATGCATCACCCAGCTTGCCAGAATTCTTTCTTTCTTTATTGGAGAGATTTTTCCTATAGGGTGAGTGTACTCTCCAGAGAGACAGAGGTGGTGAGAGAAAAATGAGAAATCACCCCTCAGGGGAGAGGGCCACACCACAGTCACTTCTCCTCTATTCTCATCTTGGTATTTTGGGCATGCACACGCACGCACCTGGCATGAGATTCAAGCCGCTGGGTCTGGGTCTAAAACTGCTATGGGCCATGTGGGAGTCCAACACCTTAACCACTATGCCACCTGCTGGCCTCCCTCACCCTTTTTTATGTTTTTGCCATAGGATGCATGTGATCATTGGAGGGAGGCAGATAGAGACAGTGAGAGGGAAGGTGAGAAATCATGACTCCAGGAAGGATGGCCATGTCTCAATCCCTTCACCTCTATTCTCCTGGACTTTTGGGCGTGCACACACATGCATCTGGCATAAGTTTCAAGCTGCTAAGTCTGGGACTCGAATTGTGGTTGGCCATGTGGGAGTCCAGTGCCTTAACCACCATGCTGCCTGCTGACTCCCAGAATTAGTTTTTTTTTTGAGAGGTTTTCACTTATAGGGTGCGTGTGCTCACCAGACAGACAGAGACATAGAGACAGAAAGCGAGAAATCACCCCCCAGGGGGGATGGTCATGCTGCAATCCCTTCTCCTCCGTTCTCCTCTCGGGATCTTGGGCACTCATGCACACGTGCCCGGCGTGAGTTTTAAGCCATTGGGTCCGGGACGCGAACCGCTGTCGACTACGTGGGAGTCCAGCGACATAGCCATTACGCTAACTGCTGGTTCCCCCAGAATTAGTTTTATATAATAAAAAACAATTAATTTTTTCTCTTATGGATGGTTTGAATAAGGCTTTCCTGCCTCGGTGTTTTGTATATCGTGCCCCAAATATTTTGTAGTTTTGCCTTTCATATTTAGTATTTAATCCAACTGGATGAGGATTTTTTTTTTTTCTTCAAAAGATAGGGTCTTGCTCTATTAAGATTCACTTGTCTCAGCCTCCTGAATAGCTGGGGCCAGGTGCTGTCATTGCACCTGGCTTTTAGGATCAATCAGGAATAGTGCTTAGGCCTCCCGTGTTGCCTTGGCCTGACAAGTAGCAGTGCCACCATGGCTGGGCCTTTTTTTTTTTTTTTTTTTTTTTTTACTTACTGTGAACAATCTGTACTCTTACAACCATTCATCAAAAAGTTCACTCCGTTAATGGTCTGCAATTCTAACAGTTTTTTCTTAGAATTATTTTTAGGTGATTGATAAGCTTTCCTAAATGAAATCTGTATTAGTTTCCTAAGACTACCAAACAAATGATCATAAATGTGGTTGCTTTTAACGACAGAAATTTATCCTTTCATAGTTCTGATGATGAAAGTCTCAAATTGAGGTAGGGTAGTCTTTCAGGTTTTGGAACTAGGAAGGCTTCTATTAACCCTCTTTTTTCCCCCCTGATTCTTTCTGGTAAACTCTTAGCTGGTCTGTAGGTTAGTTCACTGTTCTCTTGAAGATAACAGTTAACTCTATTGCTTCCAAGCAAAAATCTCCATTGTTTTTGAAGTTTCCCAACCTCTGTTACAAATAAACTGTTTTCTTAGCCTGTCTCTAGGGAAACCTCTGTTTTTGATTCCTAAGTGAGTGGGCTTAGTGGCCTGTTTCTTTTCAAGTGACACTACTGTTTATGTGTAGGGAATGGACAAGGATGGTGGTCTCTGGGATTTTCAGCTTGTCTCCTCTGTCACCTTACGAGTGAGGTGGGGTGAAGACTATTAGACTGGATCCAGTGTTCTTATTCTGAGGCATGGTATATAGCTACCACCCTGTGAGAGGTGATTGGGTAGAGGAACACTCAGATCTCTGGTGTTCTTTAAAGGAATACAGCATCTGTAACCCCGAGCAGGGGCACATGAAGAAATGCTGCCACTAACAATGAATTATCATCGGCCTAGCGTGGGAGCTGAGGGTGGGGAGCCTTGTGTTCGTGGTTTTACTCAGTCATGCTGAACTGGTGCTGTGTGTGGTGATGGGGAGGGAGGAAGGCCTAAGTAAAGGAATCGGTTGCCATGGACCATTGACGATTTTTCCGAAATTTAGTAGATATTGTCGAATACATATTTCTTTATTTGCAGTTGGTCTTCAAACATTTTTTGGAGACCTTAAATGGTTATTGTAATTTTTTTAAAGTAATTTTTACCAACCGTAATTCTTTCCCTGTGGAGAGTAGTTGGAACCCCTCATATTGCCATTCTGGAAGTCAACCTCACATTCTTTTGGCCCTAATTAGTATTATAATACATAGTTACTACCTATACCATACTAACTACATATCCTATGTTTACATTTTAATACTGTGTACCAAGGGTTTATTTAGTTATGAAGTACTGACTCATATTGTTATGTACCTTTGTTATGTATCCATTCATTCAGATAAATTATAGTTGTGAGCACATAACTGATAGTACTTTTTCTCAGAATTGTACTTTGAGTAAACTAACGTTTATATTTTAATATTTCTCAAAAATGCATTCTCATTTACAATTACAAAAATATGAATGTATGTCATAAACAATCTTGAGCAACAGAAATACAAAAACAACAAAATGAATTTGTGTTGTTAGAATCAGAATAGTGGTAATCTTTTTGTTTTAATTTTTAATTTAGGTGCTAGTTGTGTACTTGTGATTATCTTGTGAAAACTCATTGAGTTTTAGACTTATGTGTACTTTTATACTTGCTATTATACTTAATAAAAAAGTTGAAAGATTATTATGGAGTTATATGAGTTACATAGTTTTAAATAGATATGGGTTAGACTAAATTTACTATATTTAACTTTTAACTTATTTTGTATTTGAAAATGATGTTTTGGTCCTCTGGCTTGAAGGAGACTTGTTTTCTATCTTTATCCATGAAAAAATTAATTCAAAATATAAGTTATTATGAGTTTTAGCAGTTCTGTTTGATATTGCATTTCCACAAAGCATTTTAAGATATTTGAATCTCAATATACAGTTTTTTAGATATTGAAGTTTAGAAGTCATTTATAAGTTGTTTAAAAAGTTTTTTTTTTTTTTTTTTTGATTACAATTCTAGGGAAAATTCTTTATGTAAATTGGACCCTTTCTATAATAAATGAAAAATCAAGGAAGTCATTTTATCTTTTGTAATACATTTTTAAATTTTATTCTGTAGGACTATTTTGAAAGAAAGTGGGTTTGCCAGATACCTTCATTCAGCTGTTCTTATCAATGGAGCTATGCTTATTTTTGGAGGAAATACCCATAATGACACTTCCTTGAGTAACGGTGCAAAATGTTTTTCTGCCGATTTCCTTGCATATGACATAGGTATGTATCTGTTAGGACTGTACAAAGTAGGATATATCAGAAATTTTCTACTTAGAGATTCTCCCGTACATCAATTGACAACATGTATATATAACATTTTAGAGAGAAATTCAGTGTGAGGTTATGAATGAAAGCCTTCAAGTTTCAGCATACTAATAGCCTAGGATCAGGAGAACAGAAGTGCTGGCGCATGTTAGTAGTGAAGACAGGGGAATAATGAAATCTAGGTTTGAATGTCTTTTTAACCTTTTTGTGTATTATATCTCGACGTGAGCACTATATCGTGTTTGACACTGTGCTTTAGTAATAGGTAGATATGGACTACTGTCAGATTCTGTAAATTGCAGATAATAGAAATACAAGCATTTTTAATTTAGTAGGAGGGAGCAAAAACTCATTTATGTTAAACACACCAAATATAGAAAGCTGATAAAATTAGAGGACAGAATATAGAGAAAGTAGAAGTAAGAAAGATTTTGAGACAAAATCGAAGGAACCTTGAACAAATGTAGAGATTGAAGCAACTAAAGAATCTTTTTCCAGAGAACTGGAAATACAGTGTATTTATATAGTTCCCTTAATTCTAATTTTGCTATCTATAGTCCTGTTAGTTTCTGTATATTTAAATACATCTATTTATTGAATGGATAAATTTAGCTACTCAGTAGACCTTTGTAGTTAAAACATTGCTTCTCTTTGTGTCATATTATAAATGAAAATAAGCTGACATTCAAAATATATGTAATGATAATTGAGGGCACCTCTTGATGGTGTAAATGAAGTAATAAACCAAATTCAAAGCTATTAGGAAGGATTTTGACCAGTGAAAGATGACAAAACACATTTCATAGATGTTAAGAAGTATACTTCTGCTTTTGAACATCATAAAGGCACACAGCCTGTTTTGGTTCATTGTTTCTAGTAGCATAAAGAAAATGATGGGGACCAGCAGTTAGCGTAATGGCTATGTCACTGGACTCCCATGTAGTCGGCCACGGTTCGCGTTTCGGACCCAGTGGCTTAAAACTCACGCCGGCCACGTGTCCAAGATCCTGAGAGGAGAATGGAGGAGAAGGGATTGCGGCGTGGCCATCCCCCCTGGGGGGGTGATTTCTCGCTTCCTGTCTCTCTGTCTGTCTCCGTCTGTCTGGCGAGTGCACACGCCCTATAGCAAAATCCTCTCCCCCTCCCCCCCCAAAAAAAAGGAAAAAAAAGAAAATGATGACTATTAATAACTCTTTGATCTTTTTCCTATAAGTTTATGTGGAAGGAAAATCCTAGCAATAATGTTAAGCATGCTTTTAAACTCGAAGCTATGAGCCTTCGCCTGTGATTAATTATTAGATCTTAAATAATTAAATATTTTTTGAAGTAATAATTGAAAATGATGACTCATAATGAGTATGGGATGGTCCCAGCTTTGGGGAGGCTCATAAATTAGTGTCTGAGATCCAGAAAAATGAGTTGAATAAAGTACTGAATCTAGACTGGCAGTGATTTCGACAGTGATCCGTCATTGCCAGGCTGAGGCTGTCAACCTACAGTTTTGGCTATAGTTATGAGACAGGGAGATTATTTTTCTCAAGGTAGATGAAGGTTTTATCTGTTTGTTGGTTCATTAAAATCCTAGGAAAAGTGTAGAGTCTTGTTGCTATGGGTAAAAACCCATAAAGTAAACCTTTTGCAAAAGATTCTTCTGGAGCTTTCATACAATGTCCATACTTAGATGAAAAATTTGAGGTTGAACTATTGGGTAGCTGGGAAGTATTTTCATTACTTCCATGTTGTTGAAGATTATGAGATTTCAGGTTTTACGGATCAAAAAAGCTTATTGAGGTAAACAGAGGTTTGTTCCTCCCTTAAAACTTGTAGCCCTGCTGCTTGAACTGCCCCATGCTGATTGGTTGGGACCATTGTATACTCTTAATTTTGGGAAAAGTAAAAAAAAAGGAAGAACAGATACCATATGTTTAATTTTTAATGCTGTGGAAGATAAAAGCAATTATCAATGTCACTTTTTTCAAGCAATCATTCAGACTGGGGGATAAGTAACATATTACAGTTTTATATTTTAACAGGATTTTTTCCTTTGCTAATATTGACAACTAAAACAATGGTAACCATGTAGCTAACATAGGTTAAAAGTGTTGTGTTTTATTTCATTTTACTATGTGTATATAGTTCCTAATAAAGTTCCCCCAAAGAATCTGTATTTATCCTCCTGGATTTACAGCATTAACTGTTAGACTATTTCCCTGGGAGAAAGTATTTTTCATACTTCATAAAATGACTCAAAATATTTTCCTTATAGAGCATTTTTTTGTGTGTACAGAAATAAATAGAAAGCATTACATAATAAACTAACTAGAAAATGTATTTGTTGAATATTTTTGAGATAGAGACAGAGACAGAAGGAAGTCTTGTCATGCTGTGATCCTCTTTTCCTAGCTTCCCAGACGGCCAGGATAGGTGCGTGTGGGTACACCCATTATGTGCAGATTGATCAAGGATCCAAATGTGGGCCTACCACATAGCTTCAGTGTCCTGCAATAGCTCCCTACCACCTGCATCACTACTGCCGGGCCAGAAAAGAGATGTATTAGAAAAAAAAAATTTTTTTTTCTTCTGTATGGTACATTAGGACATTTTGGGTATGTTTATCTGGAATGCATTTGAAGAGTTAACTGATTGCTTTGTGTTTTATGTTTAAACCAATAGGAATGTTTGTATCAATCTTAACTTTTCATTGTTGTAAAATGTATTCTTTCAACCTTACTGCCACAATAATTCTTATACAGTGAATATCATTAATCTTTGAACATATACCCTTGTTCACTGTTCTCATTATATATATGTATACTAGAAGTAGAAGGCCTATGCTGGCAATTTTTAAATATAGCTATACCTTGGCATCTCCTCTGAAGACTGTTGAGAAAAAAGGATGTCAGACTGTATTATTAGATTATTTGGGATTAGGCAATAGATAACTATATTTTTTTAGAAACTGACAGATATACAATAACAGGGCCAGGACTAGTGAATAAGACTGAATTGACTATAATGTATAGTATGACTTATTACTTAGTATTCAAGTTTCTTTTTCTTTTTTTTTTAAGAGAGATTTTTGCTATAGGGCATGTGTGCTCACTGGAGAAACAGAGAGAGACAGAGAGACAGAAAGTGAGAACACTCCCTGGGGAATAGCCATGTTGCAATCCCTTTTTCATTCTCCTCTAGGGATTTTGGGCATGCTCATCTACTTGGCGTAAGTTTAGGTCACTGGTTTGGAACTTGAACCGTGGTTGACTACATGGAAGTCCAGTGATGTAACCGTTACACCATCTGCTGGTCTGAGTATTTGGGTTTCTAAATCTAGGTTGAAGTGAGATTTTAGAATCCAAAAACTTGATTAATATTTTTGTTATTGTTACTGGTATTATTATTGCTTAAGCCCCTATGACACCTTTTTCAAGATGAAAAATATAATTCTGTTAAATATATCCTTCTATTCAGAATTCAGGTATATTGGGTTGTTGGAAAAGTCATGACATTTTTTTCCTGTGTTTGTCTATGCAAAAATGCATCATGACTTTGCCAACAGCCCAATAATTCTATGTATGTATTCATTTTTTCTAGAGTGTGCACTTATCAGAGAGAGAGAGAATAGAATGGACCCCCTTCATTAGGAGGGTCCCTCTATAATACCTTCCCTGACATCTTTGTCTCCTTTCAGACCTTTGGGTATGTATGCACGTGTGCCTAGCATGATTTTCTTGCCACTGGATCTGGAACCCAAACCACATGGTTGGCCATGTGGGATGTAGCTTCCTTAATTAACCTGCAGGCCACGACGTCTGTCCCAGATAGAATTCTAAAACAACATGAAAAAACAGTTACCAGGAACCAGCAGTTAGCGTAATGGCTATGTCACTGGACTCCCACGTAGTCAACCGCGGTTTGCATCCCGGACCCAGTGGCTTAAAACTCACACTGGGCGCGTGTGCGTGCATGCCCAAGATCCCAAGAGGAGAATGGAGGAGGAGGGATTGCAGCGTGACCATCCCCCTTGGGGGGTGATTTCTCGCTTTCTGTCTCTCTGTCTCTCTCTGTCTGTCTGGTGAGCGCATGTGCCCTATAGCGAAAACCTCTCCAAAAAAAAAAAAAACCAGTTACCAATCATATTTTTTTCTTCAGAAATAGGAGACAATGAAAACATGTAAATGTTATTTCCTGAAATACTGCATTTTAGAATTGATTGGGGAACAGGACTTGTATAAGAAATATATCTGATAGAAAGTGGAGCAGTGTGGGATCAACAGTTAGTGTAATGACTATGTCACTGGACTCCCATGTAGTCGACTGCAGTTCGAGTTCCGGACCCGGTGGCTTAAACTCACACCGGGCGCATGTGCATATGTGCTCAAGATCTCAAGAGGAGAATGGAGGAGAAGGGATTGTGGTGTGGCCATCCCCCCTGGGGGGGTGATTTCTCACTTTCTGTCTCTCTGTCTCTGTCTTCCTGGCGATCACATGCACTATAGCAAAAACCGCTCCAATAAAAAATAAAAAATAAAGTAGATCAGTGAAATATCTAATCAGGTTAAACCAATAATGGAACTTAAAAAGTAAATTTGCTAAACATGAGGGTTTGAATTATAACCTTAATTATTGATAGGTGATTATTTAAATACAAAATCAGTAAAAACTGAAAAGGGATTTGGTATTCAAAGAAGTAATACAATTTTTTTTAAGAGAGATTTTTGCTATAGGGCATGTGTGTTCACCAGAGAGATGGAAAGAGACAGAGGGACAAAAGGCAAGGGAGATGGCCATACCACAATTCCTTCTCTATTCTCTTGGAATTTTGGGCACTCATGTGCCTGGTATGTTTTAGGTCTCTGGGTCCAAGACTTGAACCGCAGTCAACTACATGGGATTCCAGCAACGTAATCACTATGCCATCTGCTGGTCCCAGAAAGAATACAGTTTTAATTGGTAAT